CTGTGGCATCAGACTATGGAAGCTAGTGGAAACCATGTACTCAGGGCTCTAAAGTGTGTCCGTTTTGGTCCCATATGCCAAAATACTTTGCTGTGCAACCTGACATTTTGGGAGCACCATGTGCCTTGAAAAATAATCACCCAGATAATTGTTGTAATGATTGGGCTTCGCTGTACTGTTGTTTTAGAGTGCCCTAGAGATAAAAACGAGCGTTACTGTCATGGTTGTCCCATTACTACAGCGAAAACAGATTGATTCTAGCACAAACAGGTAAAAATAAGATATGACCCATATTACCGGGGCAATGTTTTTTTCTTCCTAGCGTGAATTGGCTATACATTCATAAACCATTTCGCAGGCTGTTCTAAAACAACTTGTGCATTTGTTTACACCTTGTTCAGCCCATGTAACCTCATTAGATAGCTAGCTAACAACCTGGTTACTTAATTACCAGTACATCCACACTTAGGGGCACAGAAAGGAAAAGGGATAGCTTCTTCAGGAAATCAATGATCATATCAGAGCAATGAACTTGACGCTCTTAAAATAATAATAATATAATATAAATAAAGATGCAGTGTACAATTTCCAATGTAATGCATAGGTAGTGCTTTTACTCAATGTTGAAACCTAATATTCCACTAATTACAGGTTTTTGTATCAACATTTTAGCTTTTTATAATAAACAAATGGTTTTTAGATTGTTCAAATTTGTTTCTGGGCACAAAAGTAGCTAGAAATTCAAATAGACCCAATATGGCTATATCTCAATCAAATACAAATATATATTTTCTGATGCTCTTTAAAAAATGTTGTGCTCCTACCTATTTTAAGTTGGGAGCACCAGTGCTATGAAAAATGCTAATTTAGAGCCCTGCCTGTACTAGACACTGCCAGTCTGCAACAACTACTCAGCAACCGTGGCTGGAAACAAATAGCGTAAGCAATCACAGTTGCCCTGGATGACAATTTCAGACAGTATTTAAAAAATATACATATATAATCTGTTAGGGACTACAGAGGGGTTTTGAGGCTCCCAGTCAGGTCGAGAATGGAACACATATTTAGAGGAAGTTCCAGAGGGTGGACAGGGGACACATTTTGCATATTGTGGTGGGTGTGTGTCAAATATGACTCGATGTAGGAGCTCCTCAAGTTTAAAAATTACAAAATATCTGACCAGAGAGCTATTTGTTCAAAAGAATATATATAATAATAATTCATTTCTGAAAAAGGCAGTGTTCAAGGTAGTTTTCTCTGCACCCATTCTAGCTAGCGTTACAGCGAGAGAAACTGAATCAGTGACTAGATCACCTTTTCCTACTCCACTTAGTGGCTGCATAAAGTGGACAGTTGAGAGAAATGTTCTGCATTAGGGTGATTCAAAAAGTAATAACCAACAGTCTACATAAAATCTGTAATTTGGCAAATCATTCCTGTTACTCTGAGAAAGCCTTCAGATCCTCCAATCAAATGATAAATACCTAACTCAAATGAAAGTGTTTTAACAGGGGTGTATGAATGATCTCATGATACAAATCTAGCCCTAGGCATCATGTGATGGAATGACGACATGCACAGGAACTGTTCTATGATGACACTGTCCAAGTGTCTGGTATGAATAGCAAAAGATCACTGATTCTGTATGGGTTTCCCAACTGACTAGGTTTGATAGGGGAAACCCCTTTTCCACAAAGCTCATTGTAGGTGAGAAGATGAGTTATACCATCCGGCGTCCTTTCAATTTCTCCCCTATAGGACGACTGGGGAGATTAGAATAGTGGTAAATCTAAATGCTCTAAAATGGACAGTGAAACTATACTGAACAAAAATATAAATGCAACATGTAAAGTGTTCGTCCCATGTTTCATGAGCTGAAATAAAAGATCCCAGAAATTTCTCATACGCACAAAAATATTATTTATCTCAAATGTTGTTTACATCCCTGTTAGAGAGCATTTCTCCTTTGCCAAGATAATCCATCCACCTGACAGGTCTGGCATATCAATAAGCTGTTTAAACAGAATCATTACACAGGTAATGATGGGCTGGGGACAATAAAAGGCCACTCTAAAATGTGCAGTTTTGAGGGAGTGCGCAATTACATTTACGTCATTTAGCAGACGCTCTTATCCAGAGCGACTTACAGTTAGTGAATACATATTTTTTTATAATGGCCCCCCGTGGGAATCGAACCCACAACCCTGGCGTTGCAAACGCCATGCTCTATCAACTGAGCTACATCCCTGCCGGCCATTCCCTCCCCTACCCTGGACGACGCTGGGCCAATTGTGCGCCGCCCCATGAGTCTCCCGGTCGCGGCCGGCTGCGACAGAGCCTGGATTCGAACCAGGATCTCTAGTGGCACAGTTAGCACTGCGATGCAGTGCCTTAGACCACTGCGCCACTCAGGAGTTATAGTCAGCAATTGGCATGCTGACTGCAGGAATGTCCACCAGAGCTGTTGCCAGAGAATTTAATTTTCATTTCTCTACCATAAGCCGCCGCAGTCATTTATTTTATTTATTTAGCTGTACGTCCAACCGGCCTCACAACCGCAGACCACGTGTAACAATGCCAGCCCAGGACCTCCACATCCGGCTTCTTCACCTGCGGGATCTCACCCGGAGAGCTGATGAAACTGATGAGTATTTCTGTCTGTTATAAAGCCCTTTTGTGGGGATAAACGTATTCTGATTGGCTGGGCCTGGCTTCCCAGTGGGTGGGGCCGCTGCCCTGTCATGTGAAATCCATAGATTAGGGCCTAACGAATTTATTTCAATTGACTGATTTCCTTATATGAACTGTATCTCAGTAAAATCGTTGAAATTGTTACACGTTATATTTTTGTTCAGTATATATATATATATATATATATATATATATTCATCAATATCTTGACCAAATACATAGAATATCGGATTGTGCCAGACCAGGAAATTTGATGATGGTACTGTATTAATCCCAGAGGGGTCATAAAATGTTCTGTTTTGGTGCAAAGGCCAAGAACAGATCTTACGGCAGGATTTGGGAATACACTACAGCTCGATATCAGAATAAGTTTTTCTCTACCCAGACCAGTTTTCAGGATCGTAGTAAAATCAAGGTCGGGTGAGGAACAGGACGTTGTGAGCCCTACAGTGTGACGGGAGCAGCAACCTCCAATTAAATGCTCCTACGGTTCTCCAGACAACACCAAGACGCCCCGATAATACTTTTGACAGGGCTCGTGTAGTGCACTAGCCCAATAGAAACACATTGTGAGCAGACATACATTTTCTAAAACGTCAACCAAAACATTATTCCGGCGTTTTCACTACTCAAAGTTTCCTTTCTCATATTGCACTCAATCGCTAAAATTATTTTCTGCTAGTCATTTCTATCTGAGTCAATATTCACAATGGTTTTCCCATCTCTCATTCAAATTGCATAAGTCAGTTGAAAATATAAAATCAAATGTTATTTGCCACATGCGCCAAATACAACAGGTGTAGACCTTACAGTGAAATGCTTACTTACAAGCCCTTAACCAACAAGAAAAAAAGTGTTTAGTAAAAAATAAACTAAAAATAATTAAAGAGCAGCAGTAAAATAAAATAACAGTAGGGAGGCTATATACAGGGGGTACCGGTACAGGGCTTCTATCGAGTTTAAAACAGGGCTTATAAAATACATTTGATTGATTCACCAAACAGATAGCATCACATCAAGATTTAAATCCCTTTTATATTATCAGTGTTGCCCATCTAAAGATGTTAGGATTTGTATCATTTTGCAGTCCATTGCCACCATTACGTTAGGATTTGTATCATTTTGCAGTCCATTGCATCCATGTGGTCATGGGGTCAAGACCTAGAGATCATCTCAGAGCGAGAGACCTAGAGCGAGAGACCCACAGAGACAGACCGAGACCCACAGAGACAGACCGAGACACACCGAGACACACAGAGACAGACACAGAGACGGAGACAAAACAAGAAAGAGAGCGATCATGCAATCACAGATAATCTTCACATCATACCAAAGAAAATCTGATAGAAGCGTAGAATGGAGACAGCAACCATCACATTGGCAGCAACATAATTAACTGATTACATGTTGGCAGCAACATAATTAACTAATCACATGTTGGCAGCAACATAATTAACTGATCACATGTCGGCTGCAACATAATTAACTGATCACATGTCGGCTGCAACATAATTAACTGATCACATGTCGGCTGCAACATAATTCACTGATCACATGTCGGCTGCAACATAATTAACTGATCACATGTCGGCTGCAACATAATTAACTGATCACATGTCGGCTGCAACATAATTAACTGATCACATGTTGAGGGAAAATAATAGCTACTGATCCTGTAGCAACTTTGCAGAAACATGTGGCTCTCTACATGCACCATTGTGTTGTAGTTTCTTCGTTGTAATGCCTTTTCAACTGGCACATCTTTGTCACATCTTTACTTAACCAGAGACGGGAATATTTTAAGGGTGTTATCGACAAAGCATCACATTTGATATTTCGAGGTCCCTCCCTTTCCTTGGTTAAAATCTTTTGCAAGTGTTGCTCAGAACTGACCAATGACCACAAACTCCAGATGACACGTTAGTAAACCCACACATCAGCTCAAGAATCACCCACCACACATTGAAACGTCTAACTACTGTGTACAGTCTAATGCTGTGCCACTATAGGTCACCAAGGGGATTTTACCACCTTGTAACAACTATGCAGAGAAAAAATCCCAACAGTCATCAAAAGGAAAAATATAGCTGCTTGCATTTGGTAATATCTAGACCAATACATTCAACCCACCCTTTGATTTTCCACACAGCAGGGTATATAAAAGACTGCTAACAATCTGAGATGACATACAAACATTTACAGACTCCAGACCTCCCCTCGTGTACACTTCACAGGACACTGCCTACAAGCCCTTCAGGTTATCATGGAAAACATTTTCAGGATTGTCTTTTTGATGTTTTTTCTCTCAGGTAGTGAAGGACACCCGGCTTACGACAAAGATTTAAAAAAAATCGAAATGGGAATCAAACATCTACGAAAAACAATTACATGTGTAAGTCACTTCATGACATAAGAGCTGTTCAAATCGCTTTAAATGTATTTCTGTGACCAACTAACATCTCTTTTTCCATATCGTCCCGTAGCCAGAAGGTTCAGTCTTCTATGCTCCGTCTCCAGCTGATGTAGAGGTAAGGCTAACTAAACATGTTCAACACCTGATTTCGGCAAATGGACAACACAGTAGCCCTTAACCTTTCCACTAGCCCTAGCTGTTTTTCTGACTCGCTAAGGCATTTCCGCTTCAATAGTTCATAGAAGACCACTAGTACAGGAAACACAGCAAGGCTGCAGACGGTGGTTCAACTAATTTCACATAGCACCCACTCCCCTCTTGGCAGTGCAATTCACCACAACTAATCCACAGCCTCTCTTTCCGTGTCACAAAATCAAGGAGCCCCAGGGCAAACAGTTGCATCTCTTTTTCTCTGTTGCAGAAAAGCGTTGCTGCAGCACTGGCCTGTTCCATTCAACAACTGAAATACCTCAATAACTCCAGAAATCTGCAGTATCATATCAACAAGACTATTACGCTCCTACAAGGCATGATTGTTGATAAGAATGTAAGTATTGATATTTTCCCTAAGCATCTTGCCAGTTCAAAATAATTGTTGTTACTAAACAGGTAGGCTCATACACGTTGGTTTACCACTTTACATGTCATTAGACTAAATCGTACCTTATCTCCTCAGAGTACGGACTCGTCAGAATGCATCCGTGAGAACCCGCTGTTCAAAATGTCTTTCAAGGACTTTATGGAAAATATTAACACTTTAACTGCATCTCTAGCTGTCAAACTGTTCCAATGATAAAATAGGTTCTAGCTCCCAGTTGCATGGGGGAGGATGGGGTTACAGGAAGTAGATTGTCATTGCACTGACTCTGTAACAATGTGTGACATATATATATATATATATATATGTCTAACTGGATGTCCTTAAAAACCTGGGATGAAAGCCCTACATAATGAAGGAAGGTGCTACTGTAGGTTTTGTTTAATTATGTGATATCCATATACTGTGCCTGAACTGCTCTGAATGCCAGTGTTTGAGTTCTCAATGTCTGTTTTAACTAGAATGTATTTAAGAAGCTTCTAAAAAGCTCTAAGTTATTTATTTATGTATTTATTACGTATTTATTATATTTTGACTTCTACACATGGACTGTTCCAAAACCTTGATAATAAATTTGCATTTAAAAGTATTTGAAATGAATTTCCCTTCTGTTTTTTTAAGGTTAAACATCGCTAACACTAATGTAGCAAAATAGGTACATGTATATTGATTGGTTTTACCGTTGCTTATATGTGAATTAGAGTTGTCGGATACCCTTTTGCCCGAATCTGGAATCCTCATCGCCTAGACTTGGGTGGGTTCCTACGTTTGCGGCACGTGGGACCACTTCATTGTACAAGTATAAATTGCTTATCGGCCCATGTGGGGATAGTTCGGAGATGTCAGGATCTTGGGCTTTCAGCCCGACTCAGCTGCATCTAAATTAATCTCTACTGAGCATCCTTCTCTCTCCTACTGTATGTTTAAATGGAATATGACAATATCTGACTGTGTACTATGTATGGGTAGTCATACTGTGGTTTGGACAAGTTGTTGCTGATCTATGCTAAATCGAGAGTGAAAGGCAGGCCAACTGGGGAGGTGGGTTCCTATACAGTAGGTGACCTCTGTAGGACGGGGAATTCCATGTCAGTTATAGGGCAATAAACCAATAGTCCATGGAGGGAAAATGAGCCCATTCCTCATCCACAAAATGGTGCTACAGGCAACTGACATTCTAACCTCAAGCTCGGGTAATGTAGTGATTCATGTTTACAGTGGGCTAGTCTGCAAGCACCTGGCCTAAAAGAAAACCCATTGACATTGTCAGTAGTATACATATGATGTAGCTAATGCAATGTGTTGAAGCTCCTTAAACACATTGGAAACTTAAACTTAAAAAGGGCTTAAACAGTCATTTTGCTGTTCTAAACACAGCCCAAGTAGCTGCCTTCCAGTAATGTGTAAACCACTTGAAAGACTACAAGCACACAAACGCATCTGCAAACAAAGCGGTTTGACTTTATTCTACTGCCAATCCTTCACTTTGTATCTATCGGGCCACCCACTCATCTTATGTGTACAGGAAACGTTTTCAAGGATCAAGTTCTTAACGTTGTGCCTCAAAAACATTACTATTCTAGATATGGGCTTTATGACCTAAATCTAGCTTACCCAAATGAGAGGTAGGTCTAAAAAGTGGTGTGCAACCACATCAAGAGAACTGTATATCCTGTTTATCTCTACATCTATTGCGACAGGGCTGCTGTGACAAGCACTTTAATCACATCATAATTAGTATTCTAATTGCTAATTCTATAATTCACACACCTTCTGATAACAAGGATCTGGATCAGTTGTTTGGAAGTTGGTGATTTAAGAATCAGATTTTGAATAATGAATCACACTGGCCAACCCCTTGTGTACAAGCAGAGTCTTTGGACATCCCTGTTTGTACAAGCAAAGGGTATTTTGGACAACCGCCTTGACTTGAATAGGACAACCAAATGCCTCAAACACCACAGTATCTTCTATATACTAGTTCAACATGAAAGGGCAACTCCATGTATCCAAACAAAGCCTTGATAGTAGTCACTTGTCAATTAACGTTTAAAATGTAACTCAGATAAACAATGACAATTATGTCTGAATGCACATCAGCGTCCAAGGATCGTATCAGGACGACAGTTTCAATATCAATGTGTTCCATTCATTCATATCACTATAGTGACACCTTCACTATGAACAATTTTGCATCCAGCCTTGCAGCATATTTGCATAAATCACAGGCTTTCCCTGATAACTCATCCAGGCATGGCACAAACATCAGATCTAGAGTGGTTCATACATACTATTCAGGTGTTTGATCCTGGAGCGTCGGGTCCCTTAATGCACAGAAGACTTCCTGTGTACAAGGAAGTAAAAAGAAGCCAGGTTAATACAACAAAACAGGGCTGTGTAAACATTAAAATAATGAGTGATATGATATGCTGCGTCGCCTGCACAGGAAACCATAGCATTTCCTGTGTGTGTTTGTAGTAAAGACCGTGCTAGTTCTTAGATTGTGGGATCAGCTTGTGAATTCACAACTATGGACCTCTGACAACACGCCTTCATACAAACTGATAATATATTGGTATGCAATTGACTTTCATTCTCATGCGCTATGTCAAGGTGCATGCAGACGACTCCTGATAAGAGCACATTGGATTATTTAATGAAATGCATTGCAGATTCTTAGTCTAAATTCAATAATATTTGTAATTGCTCTGGATGCATGCATATTGAAGTTTATTGCATGAATTCAAATCACTAGTTCATACAATATCTTGGCTGTATTACAGAAGAAAAAGTCTTACCTTCAACTTTGAATTGCTTAGTTCTTTGTCAAAAAGCAAACAATCAATTAAATATATTGATAGGGAGGTAGCTCAGTTGGTAGAGCATGGCGTTTGCAACGCCAGGGTTGTGGGTTCGATTCCCACGGGGGGCCAGTATGAAAATAAAAAAGAATAATGTATGCACTAACTGTAAGTCGCTCTGGATAAGAGCGTCTGCTAAATTACGTAAAATGTAAATGATATTATTGCCAAACCTTTATCTTGAGATGTTTTTATTTATTTCAATTCAATTCAATTCCTTATCTCAAAGCATAAAGCCCAACAATGTGACCACAGAACATCTAAAAATCTAATTGAGAAAAACATCTTCAGAAAACGTGGCTTTTGTGCCTTTAACAATTGTGACACGCCTTAAAATAAAACAAACAAACAAATAAAATCCTCATCCCTCTTCTTTGGACCCATTTTTATAATAAACTTAGCTTTGTAGACTGTGTAAGATTAACTTGCAGTTTAAAGGGCATCATGTCAACCTATTCTTTTCTGCTCCCATTTGTCCTGCTGAGGTATGCCTTTTCGATTTAGTCCTTTTTTCAAGTGTAGGTGGAGAAGTTTCACAAATGTATTTTTAGTGCAGAGTCATGCTGGGGACCTCTCACATGCTGAAGTGATCACTCACTGGAGGCTTCGCCACCCAGGAGCCGTAGCCCTGCTGTGCTAGGTAGGACCTCAGCACACTCTTGGCCTCCTGGTAGGGCTTGGCCATCATCTAGAAAACCCATTAATGGGACATGGATTATTAATGCTAGACAATGGGACAGGAGACTTCACACAGAGGTTTTTTGAAAGGTAACAATATCTAAGAGGGTTTGTAATTGATCCTGTCCCACACCCACTCATGTTCTCCTAGTGTAGCTAGAGGGCAGGGCATGAATTGAAATTGAATGGAGCCCAACCGTAGTGTGGGGAGACGAGTTTCATTACCTTGGCCTCTCTGTAGGAGACTGTAGCCAGCAGGTCCCGTCTTGAGGCCTCCTTGGCCACCAGGTTGAAGCGACTCAGCATGGCTGCTTTACACAGGCGGCTGGCCAGGGCAGGGCCGCTCTTAAATGGAGACCTGACACACAAATCAACATGGTCGTTGTGAAGAAGTCAGCTAACAGAGCACCTGTAGATTTTCTGGGTTTTCAAGCCAGAATGGGGCCTATTTCATATCATGAAGGACATTAATTGAATATGCCTTCATTGGGGAAAGTCTGACTATAAAATTGTCTTACGCCTCCACCGTCTTGCCCTCCAGGCCATCCACCACCTCCAGGGAGACATCCCCCTGGCTCCAGTTGATGCCGTGGCTCCACTGGGAGTTGGTGTTGGCGCCACCCTCAGGGCACGCGGTGGACACCAGGCTGATGTGGGGCCGGTACACACAGTAGTACATGGGTAGGCGGGGGGTGATGCCGTCCACGCGCTGGTTCACCGCAATCTCCATACCCCGCACGTCACCGCAGCTCACGTCGCCTGCATTTGAGGACGATGGCAGAAACACTCGTCTTCATTTTACACCATTTGAAAGAAATCTATTCTTTGAAATCAGCCCGAGGGAAACAAGACGAGGAGAGAATGACAATTTTTTTGCAATCCAGCACTAAATCACCTGATACAACTTATGTGCTCGATGATCTGATGAGTTGATGCGTTAAATCAGGTGTGTTAGTGCAGAGATAGAACACAAACGTGCTGTCCACTGGGCTACCTAGGAGAATGGCGCCGGAGAAAATGGCTGCCGTTTTACAGCCCTCTAACCAATTGTACTATTATGTGTGTTTTTCCCGCGTTATTTGTAATTTGTTCTGTACATAATGTTTCTGCCATCGTCTCTTATAACCAAAAAGAGCTTCTGGATATCAGGACAGCGATTACTCACCTTGTATTGGACAAATATTTTTTCTTCAACAAGTCAGACGCGAAGGATATCCTACAGACACCCGACAAGGCCCAAATCCCCGTCATTCGCATGAGAACGAGACGGAGATATCGTGGACGTAGGTCGGGGTGCCTTGTAAGGATCCGACGGCGAGCGAGTATACTGCCTCTTCCATCAATCCTATTAGCCAATGTTCAATCATTTGAAAATAAATTAGATGACTTAAGATTACGGTTATCCTACCAACGGGACATTAAAAACTGTAGTATCTTATGTTTCACCGAGTCGTGGCTAAACGACGACATGGACAACATACAGCTAGCGGGCTATACGCTACATCGGCAGGATAGAACGGCTGACTCCGGTAAGACAAGGGGTGGTGTTCTGTGTATATTTGTAAACAACAGCTGGTGCACAAAATCAAATTCTAAGGAAGTCTCAAGGTTTTGCTCGCCTGAGGTAGAGTATCTTATGATAAGCTGTAGACCACACTATTTACCAATAGATTTTTCATCTATATCTTTCATAGCTGTCTATTTACCACCACAAACCAATGCTGGCATTAAGATTGCACTGAATGAGCTGTATAAGGCCATATGTGAACAGCAAAACGCTCATCCAGAGGCAGCGCTCCTAGTGGCCGGGGACTTTAATGCAGGGAAACTGTTATGTGAATTATTTAACAAACTATTTTAGTGTCTCTGTGCGTCTCCCAAAAGGTTGTAAGTCTTTTGGGATTTAAGTAACGGCCAGAGTCCCGGTCTGCATAGTCAGAGATATTTATTCATTGAGAATTCTGCCATCACAATTTCAGAGTCCATCTTTTATACTCATACGTCATACAAAAAGAAATCCCTCCCCTCTGTAGGCGGGCTGTAGTTTTCCACTCTAAAACTGCTCTACTGACCTTCAGTTCACACACACACACACACACATATACACACATGCATACACACATACATACACACACACACACACACACACACACATATCCTACTCCCTGCATTACTCAGTTATTGCCGTTCTCACAATATTCTGCACCATGTTTTCATAACAGTTTCTCCCCTCCCTTAATTGGGAGGCCTCTTTATCTTAGTTTCTCAGTTGTCTTTGTTGTCTGGCCTAACTCTTACTCACATTGCTAAATAGTGGCTCAATGCCATAGCCTTTACTGGTCCTACACTCACACATTTCTAACACATTATACACAGTTTCAGGGTGTAATAATTAGTCATTAATAATTAATCTATCAGAAACTTAAATCCGTTCTACCTCATTTCTACCAGCATGTTAAATGTGCAACCAGAGGAAAAAAAAACTCTAGACCACCTTTACTCCACACACAGAGACGCATACAAAGATCTCCCTCGCCCTCCATTTGGCAAATCTGACCATAACTCAATCCTCCTGATTCCTGCTTATAAGCAAAAACTAAAGCAGGAAGCACCAGTGACTTGGTTAATAAAAAAGTGGTCAGATGACGCAGATGCTAAGCTACAGGACTGTTTTGCTAGCACAGACTGGAACATGTTCCGGGATTCTTCAGATAGCATTGAGGAGTACACCACATCAGTCACTAGATTCATCAATAAGTGCATCGATGATGTCGTCCCCACAGTGACCGTACGTACATACCCCAACCAGAAGCCATGGATTACAGGCAACATCCGCACTGAGCTAAAGGGTAGCGGGACTCTAACCCGGACGCTTATAAGAAATCCCGCTATGCCCTCCGACGAACCATCAAACAGGCAAAGAGTCAATACAGGACTAAGATTGAATCGTACTACACCGGCTCTGACGCTCGTCGGATGTGGCAGGGCTTGAAAACTATTACAGACTACAAAAGGAAGCACAGCCGCGAGCTGCCCAGTGACACAAGACTTCCAGACGAGCTAAACCACTTCTATGCTCGCTTCGAGGCAAGCAACATTGAAGCATGCATGAGCGCACCAGCTGTTCCGGATGACTATGTGATCACACTCTCCATAGCCGATGTGAGTAAGACTTTTAAGCAGGTCAACATTCACAAGGCCGCAGGGCCAGAAGGATTACCAGGATGTGTACTCTGAGCATGTGCTGACCAACTGGCAAGTGTCTTCACTGACATTTTCAACATGTCCCTGACTGAGTCTATAATACCAATATGTTCAAGCAGACCACCATAGTCCCCGTGCCCAAGGACACTAAGATAACCTGCCTAAATGACTACCGACTCGTAGCACTGACGTCTGTAGCCATGAAGTGCTTTGAAAGGCTGGTCATGGCTCACATCAACACCATTATCCCAGAAACCCTAGACCCACTCCAATTTGCATACCGCCCCAACAGATCCACAGATGATGCAATCTCTATTGCACTCCACACTGCCCTTTCCCACCTGGACAAGAGGAACACCTACGTGAGAATGCTATTCATTGACTACAGCTCAACATTCAACACCATAGTGCCCTCAAAGCTCATCACTAAGCTAAGGATCCTGGGACTAAACACCTCCCTCTGCAACTGGATCCTGGACTTCCTGACGGGCCGCCCCCAGGTGGTAAGGGTAGGTAACAACACATCTGCCACTCTGATCCTCAACACGGTGGCCCCTCAGGGGTGCGTGCTCAGTCCCCTCCTGTACTCCCTGTTCACCCATGACTGCATGGCCAGGCACGACTCCAACACCATCATTAAGTTTTCCGACGACACAACAGTGGTAGGCCTGATCACCGACAACGATGAGACAGCCTATAGGGAGGAGGTCAGGGACCTGGCCGTGTGGTGCCAGGACAACAACCTCTCCCTCAACGTGACCAAGACAAAGGAGATGATTGTGGACTACAGGAAAAAAAAGAGGACTGAGCACGCCCCCATTCTCATCGACGGGGCTGTAGTGGAACAGGTTGAGAGCTTCAAGTTCCTTGGTGTCCACATCACCAACTAACTATCATGGTCCAAACACACCAAGACAGTCGTGAAGAGGGCACGACAAAGCCTATTCCCCCTCAGGAGACTGAAAAGATTTGGCATGGGTCCTCAGATCCTCAAAAAATTCTACAGCTGCACCATCGAGAGCATCCTGACTGGTTGCATCACCGCCTGGTATGGCAACTGCTCGGCCTCCGACCGCAAGGCACTACAGAGGGTAGTGCGTACGGCCCAGTACATCACTGGGGCCAAGCTTCCTGCCATCCAGGACCTCTATACCAGGCGGTGTCAGAGGAAGGCCCTCAAAATTGTCAAAGACTCCAGCCACCCAAGTCATAGACTGTTCTCTCTGCTACCGCACGGCAAGCAGTACCGGAGTGCCAAGTCTAGGTCCAAAAGACTTCTCAACAGCTTCTACCCCCAGGCCATAAGACTCCTGAACAGCTAATCATGGCTACCCGGACTATTTGCACTGCCCCCCCCCCACCCCCCACCACATATTTTTACGCTGCTGCTACTCTGTTAATTATTTATGCAGTCACTTTAACTCTACCCACATGTACATATTACTTCAACTACCTCAACTAGCCGGTGCCCCCGCACATTGACTCTGCACCGGTACCCCCCTGTATATATAGCCTCCCTACTGTTATTTTATTTTACTTCTGCTCTTTTTTGTTGTTTTATTTGACTTTTTTATTAAAAAATAAATGCACTGTTGGTTAAGGGCTGTAAGTAAGCATTTCACTGTAATGTCTGCACCTGTTGTATTCGGCGCATGTGGCCAATAAAATTTGATTTGATTTGACTGAAATTGAGAAACAATGCTTTTCAGACTATTGAGGTGTGACCTATGATTGAGGGACTTGCCTACGAGGATGCTGCTGACGTAGATGGGCTCAGTGAAGTGACTGAGCAGGGCTCCCTGGAAACCCAGCACCTGCCACTGGGTGATCTTGTCACTGGCCGACATGCTGACCACCCGGGAGGTGGCCTGGTCGAAGGTGGGGGAGAAGACTGAGAACACCTTGCCCTCCACCGTCACGTGCAGGCTGATCTGATTGTTCACCTCCCAGGCTGAGATGGAGAGCGGATTCAGGCGCCTGAGGGGAGAAAAAAAAAATCAAGGCTGAAGGGACAGACAGGCTGGAAAAGATCAACTTGGCTGTAAGCTGGTGGGGCATAAGAAGTTGTAGAGGTGCCAGTCACTAACAGATTGGAGGGGATCTGGGCGGCTCCTTTGGGCATCTGGTTCATGTACAGGTGGAGCGTGATGTCGCTCTTCAGACTGAGCAGCTTGGTGTTCTCGTCCTGCTGGAACATGGACTTCTCCTCAAGGCTGCGATTCTTACTGAAGAACAGCAACAGGTGCCTGTACAGATAACTGCAAATAAAACATGATTATACAGGTATAACTACTACAAACTATTATGCATATTTGGTACCCTGAAAGTTATATGAAATAGGGGAATGTTTGTATGGAATCATCTTGGTGCTCTAAAGTTTATAGGGTGAACATTGTAGGAGGCTGAGACATAATTAATTAAATTATTTAATGCATTTTTATTGAATATCGCTGGGTTGTAGTGAGAGAGGTTGGGAAAAATATAACCAGCTTTGTCAGGTTCATTTGTAATTGCCCTTGACTGACTTATGATGTTCTAAATTACATGATCTAAGCAGTGTTCTCAGAGCGTGGAAAAATTCCAGGAAATACAACAGGAACCACATAAGAACAATCTAATCTTTCTCAGAACCATCTTTGCTTCCTGGACATAAAATGTCGCTCTGGATAATGACTAAAATGTAAAAATGTAAATAAATAAAAAAGGGTGTTTTGAAGGTGTGTTTTTTCACATTCATTTACAATCATAAATACACTGAGATAAACGTACCGCATCAGTGATCTCCTTGCTGTTACAACTGCATGGGAGTCGTGGAGAACCCGTCCATTTGGTGTAGCGCTCTCCTTAGTGTTGTAATTCCCTGTTCCAATGGCCACCACTTCACATCCACTGGCTGGATGGATGATCATGGGCCACGCACAGAGAACACATTTACCGGTAACGTTCATAATAGCAACTTAAAATGTAACCAACAAAATGAAAAACGTGCCTTCGGAAAGTATTCAGAACCATTGACTTTTTCCACATTGTTACGTTACAGCCTTTTTCTAAAATTGATTAAATACATTTAAAAAATCCTCAGAAATCTACACACAATATCCAATGATGAAGCGCAAACATGTTTAGAATTTTTTGCAAATGTACTACAAATAAAAAACAGAAATACCTTATTTACATATGTTTTCAGACCCTTATTTACATAAGTATTTGAAATTGAGCTCAGGTGAATCCTGTTTCCATTGATCATCCTTGAGATGTTTCTACAACTTGATTGGAGTCCACCTGTGGTAAATTCAATTGATTGGGCATGATTTGGAAAGGCAAACACCTGTCTATATAAGGTCCCACAGTTGACAGTGCATGTCAGAGCAAAAACCAAGCCATGAGGTCGAAGGAATTGTCCGTAGAGCTCCGAGACAGGATTGTGTCGAGGCACAGATCTGGGGAAGGCTACCAAAAAATGTCTGCAGCAATGAAGGTCCCCAAGAACACAGTGGCCTCCATCATTCTTAAATGGAAGAAGTTTGCAACTTCAAGACTTTTCCTAGAGCTGGCCGCCCAGCCAAACTGACCAATCGGGGGAGAAGGGCCTTGGTCAGGGAGGTGACCAAGAACCCGACGGTCACTCTGACAGAGCTCTAGGATTTCTCTGTGAGATCTCTGCAGCACTCCAACAAATCAGGCCTTTATGGTAGAGTGGCCAGACAGAAGCCACTCCTCAGTAAAAAGGCACATGACAGCCCGCTTGGAGTTTGCCAAAATGCACCTAAAGACTCTCAGACCATGAGAAACAAGATTCTCTGGTCTGATTGAACTCTTTGGCCTGAATGACAAGCGTCACATCTGGAAGAAACATGGCACCATCCCTACGGTGAAGCATGGTGGTGGCAGGATCATGCTGTGGGGATGTTTTTCAGCAGCAGGGACTGGGAGACTAGTCAGGATCGAAGGAAAGATGAACGAAGCAAAGTACAGAGAGATCCTTCATGAAAACCTGCTCCAGAGCGCTCAGGACCTCAGACTGGGAAAAAGGTTCACCTTCCAACAGGACAACAACCCTAAGCACACAGCAAAGACAATGCAGGAGTGGCTTCAGGACAAGTCTGTGAATGTCCTTGAGTGGCCCAGCCAGAGACAGACTTGAACCCGATCAAACATCTCTGGAGAGACCTGAAAATACCTGTGCAGCGACACTCCCCATCCAACCTGACAGAGCTTGAGAGGATCTGCAGAGAAGAATGGGAGAAACTCCCCAAATACAGGTGTGCCAAGCTTGTAGCGTCATACCCAAGAAGACTTGAGGCTGTAATCGCTGCCAAAGGTGCTTCAACAAAGTACTGAGTAAATCGTTTGAATACTTATGTATTGTCATATTTCAGGTTTTTTTTTTAAATAAATTTCTAAACACCTGTTTTTGCAGTGTCATTATGGGGTATTGTGTGTAGATTGAGGGGGGAAAAACTATTACATTCATTTTAGAATAAGGCTGTAACGTAACAAAATGTAGAAAAAGAATATATATACAGTGGGGGGAAAAAGTATTTAGTCAGCCACCAATTGTGCAAGTTCTCCCACTTAGAAAGATGAGAGAGGCCTGTAATTTTCATCATAGGTACACGTCAACTGTGACAGACAAATTGAGAGAAAAAAAATCCTGAAATCACATTGTAGGATTTTTAATGAATTTATTTGCTAATTATGGTGGAAAATAAGTATTTGGTCACCAACAAACAAGCAAGATTTCTGGCTCTCACAGACCTGTAACTTCTTCTTTAAGAGGCTCCTCTGTCCTCCACTCGTTACCTGTATTAATGGCACCTGTTTGAACTTGTTATCAGTATAAAAGACACCTGTCCACAACCTCAAACAGTCACACTCCAAACTCCACTATGGCCAAGACCAAAGAGCTGTCAAAGGACAACCAGAAACAAAATTGTATACCTGCACCAGGCTAGGAAGACTGAATCTGCAATAGGTAAGCAGCTTGGTTTGAAGAAATCAACTGTGGGAGCAATTATTAGGAAATGGAAGACATACAAGACCACTGATAATCTCCCTCGATCTGGGGCTCCACGCAAGGTCTCACCCCGTGGGGTCAAAATGATCACAAGAACGGTGAGCAAAAATCCCAGAACCACACGGGGGGACCTAGTGAATGACCTGCAGAGAGCTGGGACCAAAGTAACAAAGCCTACCATCAGTAACACACTACGCCGCCAGGGACTCAAATCCTGCAGTGCCAGACGTGTCCCCCTGCTTAAGCCAGTACATGTCCAGGCCCGTCTGAAGTTTGCTAGAGTGCATTTGGATGATCCAGAAGAGGATTGGGAGAATGTAATATGGTCAGATGAAACCAAAATATAACTTTTTGGTAAAAACTCAACTCGTCGTGTTTGGAGGACAAAGAATGCTGAGTTGCATCCAAAGAACACCATACCTACTGTGAAGCATGGGGGTGGAAACATCATGCTTTGGGGCTGTTTTTCTGCAAAGGGACCAGGACGACTGATCCGTGTAAAGGAAAGAATGAATGGGGCCATGTATCGTGAGATTTTGAGTGAAAACCTCCTTCCATCAGCAAGGGCATTGAAGATGAAACGTGGCTGGGTCTTTCAGCATGACAATGATCCCAAACACACCGCCCGGGCAACGAAGGAGTGGCTTCGTAAGAAGCATTTCAAGGTCCTGGAGTGGCCTAGCCAGTCTCCAGATCTCAACCCCATAGAACATTTTTGGAGGGAGTTGAAAGTCCATGTTGCCCAGCGACAGCCCCAAAACATCACTGCTCTAGAGGAGATCTGCATGGAGGAATGGGCCAAAATACCAGCAACAGTGTGTGAAAACCTTGTGAAGACTTACAGAAAACGTTTGACCTGTGTCATTGCCAACAATGGGTATATAACAGTATTGAGAAACTTTTGTTATTGACCAAATACTTATTTTCCACCATAATTTGCAAATAAATTCATTAAAAATCCTACAATGTGATTTTCTGGATTTTTTTCCTCATTTTGTCTGTCATAGTTGACGTGTACCTATGATGAAAATTACAGGCCTCTCTCATCTTTTTAAGTGGGAGAACTTGCACAATTGGTGGCTGACTAAATACTTTTTTCCCCCACTGTACACACATACACACAGTACCAGCCAAAAGTTGACACACCTACTCATTCAGGGTTTTTTCTTTATTTTTTACTATTTTCTACATTGTACAATAATAGTGAAGACATCAAAACTATGAAATAACACATGGAATCATGTAGTAACCAAAAAAGTTTTTAACAAATCAAAATACTTTTGTTTGAGATTCTTCAAACAGCCATCCTTTGCCTTGATGACAGCTTTGCACACTCTTGGCATTCTCTCAACCAGCTTCACCTGGAATGCTTTTCCAACAGTCTTTAAGGAGTTCCCACATATGCTAAGCACTTGTTGGCTGCTTTTCCTTCACTCTGCCGTCCGACTCATCCAAAACTATCTCAATTGGGTTGAGGTCTGGGGATTGTGGAGGCCAGGTAATCTGATGCAGCACTCAATCACTATCCTTCTTGGTAAAATAGCCCTTACATAGCCTAGAGGTGTGTTGGGCCATTGTCCTGTTGAAAAACAAATGATAGTCTCACTAAGCCCAAACCAGATGGGATGGCGTATCGCTTCAGAATGCTGTGGTAGCCATGCTGGTTAAGTGTGCCTTGAATTCTAAATAAATCACACAGTGTCACCAGCAAAGTACCCCCACAACATAACACCTCCTCCTCCATGAGTTACGGTGAGAACTACACATGCGGAGATCATACATTCACCCACACTTCGTCTCACAAAGACACGGTGGCTGGAACCAAAAATATCCAATTTGGACTCCAGACCAAAGGACACATTTCCACCAGTCTAATGTCCATTGCTCGTGTTTCTTGGCCCAAGCAAGTCTCTTCTTCTTATTGGTGTCCTTTAGTAGTGGTTTCTTTGCAGCAATGAAGGCCTGATTCACACAGTCTCCTCTGAACAGTTGATGTTGAGATATGTCTGTTACTTGAACTCTGTGAAGCATTTATTTGGGCTGCAACTTCTGAGGCTGGTAACTCTCTAATGAACGTATCCTCTGCAGCAGAGGTAACTCTGGGTCTTCCATTCCTGTGGCGGTCCTCATGAGAGCCAGTTTCATCATAGCGATTGATGGTTTTTGCGACTGCACTTGAAGAAACGTTCAAAGTTCTTGAAATGTTCCGTATTGACTGACCTTCATGTCTTAAAGTAATGGACTGTCGTTTCTCTTTGCTTATTTGAGCTGTTCTTGCCATAATATGGACTTGGTATTTTACCAAATAGGGCTATCTTCTGTATACACCCCCCCCCCCCTTGCCTTGTCACAACACAACTGATTGGCTCAAATGCATTAGGGAAAGAAATTCCACAAATTAACTTTTAAGGCACATCTGTTAATTGAAATGCATTCCAGGTGACTACCTCATGAAGCTGGTTGAGAGAATGCCCCAAAAGTGTGCAAAGCTGTCATCAAGGAAAAGGGTGGCTATTTGAAGAATCTCAAATAAAAAATATATTTTCATTTGTTTAACACTTTTTTGTTTACTACATGATCCCATGTGTTATTTCATAGTTTTGATGTCTTCACTATTATTCTACAATGTAGAAAATAGTAAAAATAAAGAAAAACCCTTGAATGAGTAGGTGTTCTAAAACTTTTGATCGGTAGTGTGTATATATATATATATATATATTTATATTTAAAACATTTAAATGTAGCCAATATATAACCAGACATGGAAGAAGAGTGTCTCCCAGTGCCGCCTTGCTTACGTGACTGAGTGATAAATGCTGCCACTGTGCTCCTGCAGGCAGAGAACTCAGGGTAGCTGTCCATCAGCTTACTCAGCAGCTCTCTCACTGCCTGGGGAACATGCTCGTTGATGGGGTTCTTACGCTCTGCAGTACAGTAGGGGGAAACAACACCATCACTGCTCAATGCCCAGAAACAACCCCTAACATGTAATTGCAGATCAAAATCGAAGAGTTTTAAACAACTTTGACAAACAATGTGCTTTCCAACAACTACAAAACAGAAATAAAATAACAATAATTAAATAAGAAATGACTTGCCATAAATGGCTCTTCCAGGATGGATCTCTGAGCCTATAGTCTGACTCTCTTTCACTGGCAAGGGAGGAGGGCCATCTGAAACCCCACACACACAATATTATATTGACAGTCCATTTACAAACCATTCCCTAAAACATTGAATTTGAATCGAAAATCTATTTCCAATCCCAGAGATTTAATCAAACTAGTTGGTACAGCTATTCACCCAATGCCTCTGGAAGCAGAGAATCTCCATCCAAGGTGGGCAGCAGGTCCTCAAGGGCCAGCTGGGCTGCTCTGGCCCTGGCCTCCTTCTTATTGATCCCCATCCCAGTCTTGTACTTCACCCCGTCAACCACGACACAGAAGGCAAAGTAGAAACCTGGGATGTTACCTGGAGATGCATCATATCATATTACTGACCATGTATATACACTGCCATGAATAAGAGCCTATGGATGGAGGATCAATGTAGGACATGGTTTGAGACGTACCTGTGGTTACCGTTTCCTTTAACTCAACCTGGAACTGTAGAACCTGAGAGAGCTGGTACAGAGCTGACACTGCCTGGGTCTCACCCCGCTTGTACCGGTCAATCAACTCTTGGGGAATGCTTTTTGATCTGATGCCACCACCTGTGGCAGAACAACAAGACAACCAAACATCAGTTTCTGGTGCTAGTGCTCTAGTGGGATGGGTGACCATTTTCACCTTCACAAACTGTAACCACAGAAACCAACAGGACCCATCCCTTTCACAACATTTACTTAGGCTTACAATTGGTGTTGCATGCCGGGTCAAGGAGGTTGTTAACTTCTGAGACAGCTGGAGACACATATGCCACTGTCAATCCAGGTGGGGCACAAATATTTTTCTTGAGGATTTGGGCAAAGCTGGCACCCCTGGAACCACGAAATGATCCACCTCGAGTCCAAGCCATCTTGGAAACTGAAGAGAAAGAGTAACATGTCATTAATGATAAGATAGCAGCCATATGTTATTTTCCCAAAGTTGGTCATAGGTTTTCGCACTGGACTGCAAATAGGCTTTGCCCAACTTCCAGTAGCCTGGATGCCAGTCTCTGCTCTCTTGCTCGTTATTGAATTGCAATTGCAACTCTGACACTAGAGGGCAGTATTTACACATTTTTGGAGTTGTTGGTAAGAGAGTAGCTACCTAGTTGGAATGCATTGCTTGACTGCCATGAGGGTGATAAGCACAATATATTTTGCAAACTGCTGCACCCCAAAAGATTCATTCTCGAGTTCCAGTTTGTTGAGCTGACTGTAGGTTTTGGTTCTACAAAGCTGTCTCCATCATACCATTCAATAATTAATTAATTGCATTTCATGCAAACATGTATTTTTTCCTTCTCCATGTTGTTATTGCTGCCTGCAGCATGATCTATTACACACCGGTAGTGTCCATCGTCCCCGCCTGTCGGGCACTGTTTCCCTGCAATTCTGTTAATGACGGTGAGGGCAGGTGTTCAGCAGGTGAGAGCGAAGGACACTGTGTGCCAGCTAGTCCTAAAGAGGCCTCCGGTACACAGCAGGCGGGAGCTAGCTAGCTAACTAGCACACGGTGTCGCCCCTGCCTCCCGCCTGCTGTGTAACGGAGTAGTTAGAGGTAGGCGGGGGCAACACCAGTAGACAGTGTCCTTTGCCCCTGCCTGTTGGACACGGTTTTCTCCAGTACACAACAGGTGGGGGCGACGCCGTGTGCTAGCTAGCTAACTAGCAAGCTAGCACACAGTGTAGCTAGCTAGTTAGCACACTGTGTCAATCCAGCCTCCTGCCTGCTGTACTAGTGGGAGGCGGGGGCGACTGGTAGACAGTGTCCTTTGGGCACTGTTTTCCCGCAGTTTTGTTAATGATGGTGAGGGCAGGTAGGAGTGAAAACTCAAATACTTGTATTTCCCTTTTGACTCAAAGGGGCAATGGGATGCTTGAGAGGGGGGTGTTCATGAAGGAACCAATGGGATGCTCTCGGGGGAACTCCCCGAATTGCCGGCTGCAGTTGCACACTATTGGCTGAGTCTGAGGAGCATGTATTAATACTGCTGACAGTCTATGGAGCGAGATACCTGCCAAAAGGTTGAACGTACGTATCGTTAGGATTGTAAGAAAATCCATATGTAAATTGTTATGATCATAAGAAAAGCCATGTGTGAAACATGAAATATTATAGTGAAATGTCATCTGTGAATATACAAACACCATGTTAGAATTTCGGACCAACATTTTAGGCTTGAACAAATCTTGTGTTGCAATTCTGACGTACAAGAATACCTTCCAGGTTTTTGGCAGTTTCATCTCACCAACAAAAAAATAAAACGTACACCAAACGGCCTGTGAGTAGTGCTACACAAACAAGCATAACACAGTATAAAAAAAACTGAAGTCAGGGAAACCGGAAAGAGGTATCCTGCACTAGCTGTATTATGCCTACAACAGGGAAGTTTCAGTCCGCTAGATGCATCTCTACAGCATGGGCATATCTCTGGATGATGTGGACATCCCCATGCATGCACCTTATCAAAATATGACTAATTCAATATTGCACCATCACATTCTCTGGGCTCTGTCTGCAATTATAACCAGTAGTATCTACCAGGAATAATGAAACCGAATAATAACAGATGTTTGGTGAATCTATGAATTATGTATGACCACTGGAGTCTTTGCCACAAAATATTTATTTATAGAATATTTCATCACTCTAAATCTTGCCAAACATATTCTGTAGGAGGGGTTAATATGAATGTACATTTTTATGGCATGCAGCCATAGTCATTATACCGTAATGTAGGCCTATTTGCCTACTAGCCAAATAAAGTGCAGAGCATGCACGATACGTGCAACTTGTCATTCCAACATATTTGAACATTGAATGAATCCTTCATTCAGTTCAGTCAGTATGTCATCTATTCAGTCATTTGTCTGAGTTGCAATAGGAACTAAATCAAAGAGAATAGAACTGACTTATCCATTTGTTTATTGAAAAACGTGTGTTTTCAAAATTATCTAAATTCCTAAAGTTCTTTAGCCTATCACTTTAATTGAGGCCTATCCCCCCCCCCCCAACAAAAAAAATCAAACGCCTTCACTTTTTGTAGGCATTGCAATTTAGGCTATAATTTTGGGTACTGGCGTCTTGCGGAATAATTTTTGAACTCTATTTGTGTTTTAGAACTGTTTTTATTATATGCCTCCCCTTAAAAAGAGACCCTAGCTCACAGGCCTCTAAATAAATGTTTAACAAAATAGTTGAAGAAGCACGTGCAGTGGCTGATAGGGAAAACAGATCTGGCAATAAGAATAGGATAGCCTTGACCATTTGGGACCCCTTGGATATTTCGCTCAGGACAGGTTATAGCCAAGACTGGGGGCGGCGCACAATTGGCCCAGCGTCGTCCATGGTAGGGGAGGGAATGGCCGGCAGGGATGTAGCTCAGTCGGTAGAGCATGGCGTTTGCAACGCCAGGGTTGTGGGTTCGATTCCCACGGGGGGCTAGTATGAAAAAATAAAAAATGTATGTAGTCGCTCACAACTAATCTTCACCTTTCCCCCTTCTGATAACCAGGTGGCGAATCGCATCTCTGCATGTCTGGCAGACATATCAGTGTGGATGACGGATCACCACCTCAAGCTGAACCTCAGCAAGACGGAGCTGCTCTTCCTCCCGGGGAAGGACTGCCCGTTCCATGATCTCGCCATCACGGTTGACAACTCCGTTGTGTCCTCCTCCCAGAGTGCGAAGAGCCTTGGCGTGACCCTGGACAACACCCTGTCGTTCTCCGCTAACATCAAGGTGGTGACCCGATCCTGTAAGTTCATGCTCTACAACATTCGGAGAGTACGACCCTGCCTTACACAGGAAGCGGCACAGGTCCTAATCCAGGCACTTGTCATCTCCCGTCTGGATTACTGCAACTCGCTGTTGGCTGGGCTCCCTGCCTGTGCCATTAAACCCCTACAACTCATCCAGAATGCCGCAGCCCGTCTGGTGTTCAACCTTCCCAAGTTCTCTCACGTCACCCCCCTCCTCCGCACACTCCACTGGCTTCCAGTTGAAGCTCGCATCTGCTACAAGACCATGGGGTGCTTGCCTACGGCGCTGTGAGGGGAACGGCACCTCCGTACCTTCAGGCTCTGATCAGTCCCTACACCCAAACGAGGGCATTGCGTTCATCCACCTCTGGCCTGCTGGCCCCCCTACCTCTGCGGAAGCACAGTTCCCGCTCAGCCCAGTCAAAACTGTTCGCTGTTCTGGCACCCCAATGGTGGAACAAGCTCCCTCACGACGCCAGGACAGCGGAGTCACTCACCACCTTCCGGAGACACTTGAAACCCCACCTCTTTAAGGAATACCTGGGATAGGATAAAGTAATCCTTCTACCCCCCCCAAAAAAATATATATATTGTAAAGTGGTTATCCCACTGGCTATAAGGTGAATGCACCAATTTGTAAGTCGCTCTGGATAAGAGCGTCTGCTAAATGACGTAATAGTAAATGTAATGGATAAGAGTGTCTGCTAAATGACTAAAATGTACAAATGTAATCAATATTTTGTTTTGTCTAATTTATTGGATATACCACCCAAATCACTCTCACGCAAGTAATTTGGGTGGTATAGGCCCAAGCCTATACTACGCCATCTACTGGTGTAAGGTCGTTATTGAATGCAATTCTAAAACAAGTTCTAGACTTTTATTTTGGAAATGAAACCGGAAGCTTCAAAGCAACTAACATCTGGGCTAGAGTTAATTGACTAGCTAACTTTGAATAGCTACATTCATTCATGTCCTTTGCAGATGCCACATTACTGACAAAAGTTTGTATGTATAAAAAAAAAGATATGTAACTGATAAAGGGAGACGTAAAGTAAGAATTTAATGTGTAAATGTTCATTAATAGTTGTAACATAGGGTTTGCAGGTTTACAGATCTAATTTAACATTTTACGTTTCATGCATGGCTTTTCTTATGATCCTAACTATTTACATATGGATTTTCTTACGATCCTAACGATATGTATTGTAATGACCTGACTAGATCATAAAAGAACAACTGTCCAGACAGAGGATTGAGTTTACGAATGGACGGCTTATTAAACCAACTTTACACAGGCTACTGTTTGGCCGTAGCCCACGCCAAATAAATGAAAGATAACCCACAAGCCAATCGCGACCTTCTCTTGCGAAGCCCAGACGTAAAAGAGAGAGAACAAAGGCTAAACCTGGTCTTAACTTCCAATGCTCCATCCCCCTGCCCAACCCCCCTCCACGCCACTCCGCCAACCGCCAGGATGCCCGGCATCAGAACATTCCAGGCATTCCCGTGATTGGCAGATAGCAGGTTGATTGACATGTCGGACCCCGTTCTCTCTGAGAACCTGAGCCCTAGGACCATACGTCAGGACTACCGGGCATGATGACACCTTGCTGTCCCCAGTCCGCCTGGCCTTGCTGCTATTCCAGTTTCAACTGTTCTGCCTGCGGTTACGAAACCCCTACCTGTCCCAGACCTGCTGTTTTCAACTCTTAATGATCGGCTATGAAAAGCCAACTGAGAGACCTGAGCCCTAGGACCATACGTCGGGACTACCGGCCGTGGTGACTCCTTGCTGTCCCCAGTCCGCCTGGCCTTGCTGCTATTCCAGTTTCAACTGTTCTGCCTGCGGTTATGGAACCCCTACCTGTCCCAGACCTGCTGTTTTCAACTCTTAATGATCGGCTATGAAAAGCCAACTGAGATTTATTCCTGATTATTATTTGACCATGCTTGTCACTTATGAACATTTTTGAACATCTTGGCATGGTTCTGTTATAATCTTCACCCGGCACAGCCAGAAGAGGACTGGCCACCCCTCATAGCCTGGTTCCTCTCTAGGTTTCTTCCTAGGTTTTCGCCTTTCTAGGGAGTTTTTCCTAGCCACCGTGCTTCTACACCTGCATTACTAGCTGTTTG